AGGCGCTTTCCCCGCAGTGCTCACCCCGTGGACGTCTTCCCAGGCCCAAGTGGGAGCCTGCAGAGAGGTGGGTGGGCAGGGGTGCCGGAGGCCTCTGGTGACACTGAGCACCTCCTCCTGGTTTCTGAGTCGGCGCAGGTGATCCGGGGCAGATTTCGACTTTGTGTTTAGAGGAACGTGTTTCCGAGTCCTGGAGATACCTACACTCCTTCTGGGCAGATGGGTGACTCTGAGGGACTGTGGGCCACCTTCCTGCTCCTGCTGCCTAAGCTCGGCCTCAGCAGGGACCTGGGTGTGTGGGACACGCCGGGGCAAGGCCGGGAGCGTCCAGAGATCAGGACTTACCACGTGCCCGCACTCGTGCTGCCGAGTGGGAGGCAGTGCCCCGGCAGAGCGGCGCATGGGGCTGGCCTGCAGGACGGCCTTGCACACGCGGCGCGTGGGACTGCTCCGGGAGCAGCGGGCCCCGGACGAGACAGCAAAGAGGCTTCGGTGAGTGCGAGATGCGTGAGCTCCGGGGGGGTTTTCTTTCTGGGTCTGACCCCACCATCGAGCGTGGGCACAGCGTGGTCTTATTTTTCCCAGGAACTTCCGTGGTGCTTCTGTGGACATAGTAGGATTCAAAAGGTGTTGGTGGGTGTGTGACAGGGACTTGGGGACACGGGGCCATGTGACAGTGGCAGCAGAGGGATCAGAAGTGAGAGAACAGGAGAGGAGAGAACGGTGTCTCCAGGGCCGGTCACAGTTGGGATCTGTTGAGTGTCTGCCCTCGGCCCACCCTTGGCCACAGCTCTTGCCGGCGACACCCGAGTTTTCCGGCAAGTCCCCTCGCTGTTCGCTCCCCACCGAGGACGGCAGCAGGACAGCACGGCCTCTGTTGGTTTTCCCTGGGTGGCTGTGAGTCCCCAGTCTGAACGTGGCCCACCCTCTTGGATCGTGTTCCCTGACCTGGATTTCCCACCCAGCCCGGCCGGGTGCATGAGGGATCGGCTTTGCAGGCTCCTTGTGGGGGGAAGTGACATCATGTGGCGTCCGCGGCCGCAGGGGTGGGGGTGGGGCTCTGCGGTTGCGTGTGCTTTGAATTCGGCTGAGGGTTGTGCGTTCCAGTAGCCGGCATCTGGCAGTGAAGCATCAGCCAGTGTGTCACCCTTGATCTCAAACCCAGATGTGTGTTAACAGCAGAAGGGACAGAAGGAAAATGAAATCCGAGCCGCCTGGGGAGAGGCCACAGTTTCGGGCCCAGGCAGCTAGAACAAGCATCTTTATGAAGGCTCCCTCCCGCCGTTGCCTCTGGCTCCTGGGTAGGGGGCGGTGGGGGAGAGCAACCCGCTCCCGGGGGCACGGACGGGACGTGGGCTGAGCCCTGCAGGCACCCAGCACCAGGCCCTGCGCTTAGTAGGTGTTTAGTAAACACGTGTCCGTGCCTTGATTTTAATTTCTTCCTGGATTCTTTGTGTCTCTTTGCTTTCCCTGGCCCTGCTCTTTAAATGACCTGGAACCCAGGGCCTCGCTCCTGTGGAGCGGCCTCCTCCACCCGGTCCTGGGGGCCCATCCCGGCGCTCACAGTGGCGGCCGTGGCCGTGGGTGCGGGAGTGTCTCACGGAGAGCTCTCCTCGCCGGCCGCCACTGGCCACCGGAAGCCGCTTCTCTGTTTTCCTGTCTGTCATCTGTCTTCTTGCCTGGGCCAGGTGCTCCTCAGAGGCAAGGTCTGTCACTGGAGCCTTCGATGTGCCAGACCCACCCTGTCCCCCTTTCTCCACCTGTCACTGCCTCTGGGCAGCCGCCCTGGACGGGCACCCGCTGCGACCCCGCCGTGCCACAGGTGTGCTCCAACCAAAGTGTCAGCGGCCTCCATCCTCACGTCGGGGGTGTTGATGCTCTTGGGAAGGCGTCCGTAGAACTGTCCTCCTCTGCCTCTCTTGAGTCCCCTTTTCTTCCTTCACACGATCTTGCATTTTGCAACGTGGGGGAGGGGGTTCCCACCCACAGTTCCTACCCCGAAGAGTCTGAATTCTGGTTCCCTGTGGACAGACTGACGCAGCCCGGCTGGAGATGGAGGGTCTCAGGCTCTGGCCCCCTTCCCTGCAAGCGTCTGGCTCCTCAGCGCCGCTTAACGCTCTGGTTTAACCCCACGAGTCTGCTCCAGGCCCTTGATGCAACGCTGCCTTCTGACAGTTTGGGAAGGAGAGCGTGTACCTGCAGCCCCCAAGCAAAGCGGGTGCGTTAGGAAGCTGCATCAACTCCAGATGCCGGGAGTCTGTTGGGCGTCGTGAGCGGGAGCGAGCGTCCCTGTACCTGAGCGGCGTGATGCGTTTCCCAGCCCCCCACCCAGGCGTGGAAGATCGTGCCCTGTTCCCCTCTGCAATGCTGTTCCGTTCATGGTGCCGAACTGGACGTGCGTTCGTTGCCAGGCACTGCATCCGCATACCTGACCTCCCTAATCCTCGCCACACCTCAGGAGTTGTAGGGTCTGCTGGTGGTATCTCCGTTGTAGACTCTCTGTGAGCACCTGTGGCTCAGTGAAGTCCAGGAACACCTCTGAGACCACGCGGCTGGGGTGGCTCACGCGGGATCCTTCCCCGATGCTGCAGCTTCCAAATACAGACCCGGACTCTGCTGGGAGCCTCAGCGGGTTTCGTAAGAGGACAGTGCACGGACTTGCGTGCATGGAATGGGTGGAGCCTTTTGGCTGTCGCAGAGTGGTTTTTGCTTATTTTCTGATCACCAGTGGTATGTTGATTGAGTTCTTGTTGTGCACAGTAAGCCGTTGTGCAACATAGCAGACCACTGAAAACCAGTTCCAGAACGTTCCAAAAGACATGAAGAATTCAGTAGACTGTAACGAAGTCCACCGTATTGCTCCTTCTGGAACCGTTGTTTCCTTCTGATTTTGCTGGTTTGCTTTTGAGCTGATGACTTTGCTCCCTGAAGAGCAAACTTAAGACAAAGTTAATCAGGCATGTTTACTGATTTGCATAAACTTCCTGCAGCATTGCAATAAGGTATATAGGTTAGGCAGGTAATAAGAGGGACCAAAGACAAATCTCCCCCGAGCCACCAGCCCTGCATTACCAGGTCCGTCTCAGTTCCATCTGGCAAACATTCAGTGAGCATCAGCTGTTCTGCAGTTAGAGCGCAGCCTCTGCCTGTTGGGACTTCCCAGGGCCCCGAGCAGACAGGTGTACAGGTGTTGACAGCCGGATGGACAAGAAATGGGGAATATACCAAATGCTGCAGGGGGACAGAATTTCCCAGAGGAAGATAGAAAAGGGCTATTTTAGCTGGGTCTTAAAGAATGAATAGAAGTTCTCCAGGCAGAGAGGGGGAGATGGCATTTGGGGCAGAAGAAATCTGCCTGTTCAGAAGTGTGGCTATACCTGGGCCTGTCCAGGGCAGGGGGGTTTTATGGACTGGTGGACCCGCAAGAGCAGGGCTCAGAGCCCTCGGGCCACGGCAGCCCAGGCAACTGGCTGGCGTCAGGGTGCAGGGTCTCGTGTTGTAGGCAAAGGCAGTGGGCAGCCAAGGAAGATGTTTGTGTTGGAAGGGACGTGAGTGTAAAAAGACAGCTGGTGGCAGTGGATGAGGTGATGGCTTCTGGTTGGGAAGGGGACACGGAGCTGCATTTCCTAGATGTGGCTTTTCAGGGTGAGGCCTGGCTTAGCCTGGTTAACAGGAACCTGTGGCCTCGGCCCATCGTGACTCAGCTCCAACAGAAGAAATAAGAATGGGTTTGGGCCTGGGCGAGGCGGTGGGGCTGTGGCGTGGGATTATCCCACCCTCTGGTGCCAGGGTGGGATCCCCAGAGAGCATTTCTGGGGCCCGTGGGGCTGGACGCAGGTAGAGCACCCATGAACCCGGGCCTCCCTGCCTCTGTGGGAAAACATAGCCCTGGCCAGGAGTTTCCAAGAGACTTGAGCTCCGCACTTGGGGCTGGGGGTGGGAGGCTTCTTTGAGCCTGGCGCTGTCTGTTCCTTATCTCTCTTTCCTGCTCACTAACATAGCACTTACCCAGGGTGACCTGCACCACCAAATTTTGAAGGGCAAAGCTTTTAAAGCCATTAACACAGGCCGTGCCCTAGCTGATAAGCCTTGGAATGGAAAAGGGAGGGCCCTACCCTGCGCTGCCCCAGTGGTGGAACGGAGTCATGGCTTAATTGCTAGTAGAGAGCCCCGTGGTGCACAGGCCATCAGCAGCTGCAGGCTCCAGAACATTCCAGAACCTTCCCAGCCCAACCTCTTCGCCCTCTCCCGCCTTTGGTTGTGGCCGGGCTCCTCCTTCTGTTTGACCTCCCTCCTCAACGTCTGTCCCTTAGGTCTGCCAGCTAAGCCTGCAGGCGTCTCCTAACCCATACACACATTCTGACCCTGCCCCGTCACGCCCCCAGTGGAATTCGTGTTGTTACAAAGAATCACCCTTAGGACATTTTCCAGGGGGAACTTTTAGGACAGATGAGGAGGGCAGCTGGACAGACCTTTTAGATGTGAATATGCCGAGCCCCTTTAAGGTCAGCAACGACCCCTTATCCTCAGCCCGAAATGGCCTGTTTGCCTGTAGGTGGGTGTGGTGGGAATGTCCACCCTTAACTGAGCGCTGGGCTGCGGGCCTGGTCATCTGTGTGTGCTTCCCCCACCGCCGCCAGCAAACACACATTGGGGGGAGTGAAAAAGAGCCCCACAGCACTCATGCATGACGTCACGACAGGCTTCGGTCAAGTCGGTGACTGTCCCCCACTGGCACCGATGCCACCCTGGTCATGAGCTGCCAGCAGGCCCCTGTTCACCAGGAAGGATTCTCGCGGCAGGGGAAGGAGCCCCAGGGTGGCGTCTGTCCTCGCACAGGAGTCGGATGCCACTTGGGGCTGGGCCACCCTGTCCCTGGTTCCGCAGCTGGGAGGTGAGGGTGAGCTCGCTTCCTATTCGCAGCAGCCCCGGCCCCCAGCGCCTCCCGCAGGACCCGCTCTCGGGAACCCCCCTCACCTCTGGATCCTTGTGTGTTGCAGTGATCAGGGCCAAAGCGGTCAGCGAGAAGGAGGTGGACTCTGGGAATGACATTTACGGCAACCCCATCAAGAGGATTCAGTACGAGATCAAGCAGATAAAGGTAACGTGACCACTGCCGCGGGGGTCTCGGGGGCTGGAACACGGCCCAGACACCTGTGGGGCAGAAACTATGGTCAAGCCACAGGTAGAGCTCATCTTCCTTAACCCTCACACGCCTGAATATTCGTGTGAAAATGGCGTGTTCCCGGTGACTTCCATTGTTTGAGAAATGCGTCGCCTTTATTTGGATGGGCGACACATCTGTGTCGTGGCCTCTGCTTGAAGTCACCGAGTTCACCACTGCGTCTATGGAATGTTCCGTGATGCCTCTCCGCGGCTGAGCCGTAGGGTGTTGGAAGGCTGTTGGGGGCGACTTGGTCGTTGCCCCTGGGAGCCCACAGCTGGTGTGAGAGAGCGTGACCTGGGTCCCCCAGACGGCAGCCTGTAGTCCACACCTGCCCAGTTTGCGTTAAGTTCTAAGAGGAGGGATTTGGCAAAAGGAGGAATCCCATGGCCAAGTGTGTTGGGGAAGCTTCCCGAAAGTGGGAAGGGGAGGGGGAGAATGTGGCTGGGCCAGTTGCTGAAAAGACGACGAGAAGACAGGTGGGAGGGGGCTGCAGGCCGAGAGGAGGAGGGTGGGCATTTGTTGGTTTTTCAGAGCATGTCCGTGTTCGGGGCACATGGGAAGAAACGCGTGTGAGAGGGAGATGGGGGAGAACGTGGTGAGCAGGACCCCGAGCAGGGGCACGAGGCTGATGCTGCTGTTGTTGACGATAACGCGCTCGGTCTACTAGGGAGAAGAAAATTCTAGGTTCCAGGTGGAGGGACAGCTCTGTACATGGCAGCAGCTGTCACCATCCATATTTAATTTTGTTACAAAAATAAAAATCAGTAGAAAATGAACGTTACCAAAAGGTCAGTGGAATGCTCAATTGTCACAGCCAGACCACTTAAGGGGGTGACCTAGTCTCTCAGTGCCTGAGTCTCTTGACTGATGAAGCAGGAAACGACCTGGGTCGTGACAAAGTGGGTGTTAACGCCACGGGAGCGCTTTTAGCCTTTTGGAGAGTGATGTCATTTAATACGGCACCAGCATGACCTTGCTTGGTACGGGTTGGAGGTAGGTCTGGAAAAGCTGGTTTGTCTGACAGGGACGATGCTGTTCCCTTGGGGTGTGCTTTCTGACACTCCGGAAAGGAAAGAAAGCACCTCCAGAGTTCTGGGAAGATGCTGTCCTTCACCCGGCAGCCGGCGTGTGCCAAAGGCTGTAAACAACTCATGCTGAGAAGGCAAACCTCCCCGGCCCACGCGGTGACACCTCGTTCCAGGGGTGCCTCTCTGCTCTCGTCCCCATCAGGCAGGCAATGCTTTGTCACAGTTCCTGGAACCACGGAAAGGTCATGGTCCTCCGTGGTGGACCAGGGTCACGTGGGGGTGCACGAGCCGCTCCCCAGAGATTCTGAAATGGCCTCGCTGTGGTGGGGGTTGGGGGGCAGAAGTATAGTCTGGAAAGTCCCCTCCAGGTGACAGGGTTTTGCCCACACGTGGAGGTCTGCCACACTAAGCTGTTGAGGGACTCCAGACAGTCACTTAGGAGGGGGAACGGTGGCCTCTGATCCCCGGGTCTGGCTCTTCTCTGTCCTCTGTGTCTCAGTACCGTGGGACAGGGCGGGGCAGGCCGCTGTGCTGTTCTGGGGCCCATCTCTGCTTAATCTCCTTGTCCTTGTCTTTCCAGATGTTCAAAGGGCCCGAGAAGGACATAGAGTTTATCTACACGGCCCCCTCCTCGGCAGTGTGCGGCGTCTCGCTGGACGTCGGCGGGAAGAAGGAGTATCTCATCGCAGGTGCGTACGAGCAGCGCCGGCCGTCCTTAGACACAGGCAGGTCTCGTTCCCTGGCTCCCGGGTGGGGGGCGGGCTAGCTCGAGGGACCGTGAGGCGGTGGACAGAGCCCTGCCACCGTGAGCAGTGCCGTTCCGAAGTCTCGGGCCCTCCCTGCCATCACCTCCCGCCAGGGAAGCTCCGTGAGTCTTCACCTACCTGCCGATGGCGTTCCCCCGTTAGAGCCGTGTGACTTGACGGGAGGAACAAAGTAAAGCAGTGTTTGTAGGGCATTTCAGATTGAAACAACGTGAGTGTTTTTGCCTTTTTGCCTTTTTTTTCAGACAGGGTCTTGCTCTGTCGCCTGGGCTAGGGTGCAGGGGCGTCATCATAGCTCCCTGCAGCCTCGGACTCCTGGGCTCCAGGGATCTCCTGCTACTTTGTTTCTCTGACTACTCCAGAGGCCTCTCCGACTCCTGAGCTCCAGGGATCTCCTGCTACTTTGTTTCTCTGACTACTCCAGAGGCCTCTCAGAAGTAGAATTATAAAGCATTTGTCCTCTGTGTCCAGCTTATTTCACTTAGCTTAATGTTTTCAAGGTTCATTCACGTAGCATGTCAGAATTTCCTTCCTTTTTAAGGCTGAATATTTCACTTTATGGCTACAGTGCATTTTGTTTATCATTGCATCTCCTTTTTTTTTTACTTTTATTCTTAAATAAGTTATTTCCCTTTCTTCTTTGTACCACCTCTCTGCCTGCTCAGCTACGCTGCACCCCAGGTGTGCAGACAGGATTCTCCACCTCGGCGCTGTCAACGTTCTTTGTTGTGGGGGGGCCGTCTTGGGCATCGTAGGATGTCTAGCTACATCCCTGGCTTCCACCCATTAGATGCCATAGCACCCCCTCAAGTGGTGGGGTCTCCAGACATGGCCAGAAGTCCCTGGTGAGGGGGTGGATTCCCCTGGTTGAGAACCATGGGCCTAAGAGAACTTCTGCAGTGGTGGGAACGGTGAGGAACTGAACTGTAAATTTTATTTCATTTGAATTAATCTGAATTTGAATGCAAACAGCCACATGTGGCTGGCGGCCACCACACTGGACACAGCTTTGTCAGCCGGTTAAAGAGTGTTACTGCTCTCCTCCTGGGGGAAGCAGGGGTTGGATCACAAACTTAAGGAAAAGGAAGAGCCAGGACAACTCCCTAGACTGGCCCTATGTTTTGTTCCGAGATCCAAATTTAATCATAAACACCAACTCTCAATCCAAATACCCATGATTTGGGGGATTGTCTTCTGTCAGGGTTGTATGTACCTTTTTCTCCTCCACTGAGAATATTTAGAAATCAAGACATGCTCAGCCTGCCAGGTGCCCGGCCCCGTGTTAGGAGCAGCGGGAGACTCCAGAGGAGTCTTTGGCTCCTGCATCCGGGGCTGCACGAACATTCCCGCTGGAGAGCAGAACATAAGTTAGAGAAAACAGGCAGGTTTTGTTGTGGAGCATCGTGACTCATGAGCAGGTGCTTAGAAGGTGCCAAGAGGCAGAGACCCTTGCAGGTCCAAGAGCCCAGCAGCCTAATGGTGAGGAGCAGGTGTCGTCCTTGGCCATGGGTGGGAAGGGGGTCACTGCAGGGAGTGGGACCCAGACGGTGTCTGTTGTCTCCCCTTGGGTGACATCCTTCCTCCCGTCCTCAGAATGCTCACAGCAGCTGACTCCCTGGGGGTCTTGGCCATCAAGACTTCTGTTCTTCTCCTTGGGAGATTTTTTTCCTTCTTTTTCTTACGCATTTCTGAACTTCCTGATGAGTTTTATTGTGGGCATCTGTCTTTCAACAGCTTTATTGAGATGTGATTCATATACCATTCAATTTACCTATTTAAAATATGCAGCTCTGTGGTTTTAGTATATTGAGAGTTGTGCAGCCATCCCCACGGACAGAGAGACCCTGCACCCTGCAGCTGTCACCCTCCTAACCCCCTTCCTCCCCCGTGCCCAGCCCAGCGCATGCACCGATCTGCCTTCTGTCCCGTCGGCTTCCCTGTTTGAGACTTCCACACGAATGGAATCGTGCAGCACGTGGTCTTTGTAACTGCCTTTCTTCAAGCGGCATAATGTTTCGAGGTTCGCCCACGTGATAGCATGCATCAGGAGTTTGTTCCCTTTTGTGGTAACAATATTCCGTTGTGTGGCCAGGCCACATGTTGTTTATCTGTTCGTCATTTCACGGCATCCGGGTCGTTTGCACCTTTGGGCGATGGTACCTAATGCTACGGCGAATGTTTGCGTACGAGCTTTTGCAGGGATGTTTGCGTTTTTCTTGGGGTGTCCCTATGAGTGGAATTGCAGTGGCCGGTGGTGACTCCGGGTTTATAATAACTGATTGAGGAGCTGCTGGCGTGTTTTCCAAAGCAGCTGCACCATTTTACATTCTTAGTATCTATTATGTTTACAGTAAGAGAAATAAAATAAAATGGAGAGGGAGTAAGGGGACCAGATCACCCGCGGTGCAGAGATCTCACTCGCTCACTGATGCCATCGCAATGACACGGAGACGGCAGAAGAGCTGGCGCGGTCGCACGGCGCACACGGCGGCGCGTGGCGCGGGCCCAGCTTGGAGGATCTGCCGCGTGTCGGCATCAGCTATAGCTCCTTTCTAATACTTTCCTATATTCGCTAAACTTTACAAAATTTTGGTATCTTTTATGAACTTAAAAATAAGATCTAGAGAGAAGATAAAGGAGACAGAACCTTCCACGGTGCAGGGAACCGGCCACCCTGACACATCAACGGCTTCCAGTTTTCTGCGGCGTCTTTTTGTCCCAGTCCCCAGGCAGCGCACTGTAAAGCCAGAGCCTCCGGGCCCAGCGCCGGCTCCTCACATTGCCCCCTAGGGGCAGCCCGGCCAAACTGCAGGGCCACGGAGCTCAAGAAAGGAAGGAGGGCTGGCCCGTTCACAGGTGGACTCCTGGGGGGTCAAGTGACCTTGGCCTGGGCCCGGCCCCCCCCAAGCACACCCAGCTGAACCCTCATCCACGCTGAGCGCCGTCTTAGAGGCTTCGCCCACAGGCTCGAGCACCTCCCTGTTAACAGGAGTCCCTTTTCCTGGGCACTAAGAGGCAGGTGTTTTCCGAACGCTTTTCATGCAGATTCCATTCAATGCCCGCAGCCTCCCTGTCTTAAAGGTGCTGTTTTGATCCTGTTTTACAGCTGAGGAAGACGGAGCGGGAGACGCTTGCTCCAGGTCCAGTGGTTGTGCGCTGGGCCCACCTGCACTGGCTTGAGAGCCAATTGTTAAAATTTTAGTTTTTCAGCTGGGCACAGTGGCTCACGCCTGTGACCCCAGCACTTCGGGAGGATGAGGTGGGGTCGGAGGGACCGGGCAGTGCGGCGGGGTAGGCCTCCTGTGGGGAGAAGCTCCAGTCTGCAGCCCCTGCCGATTTCTGCGGTCGAAATACTCCCATCCTGGCCAATTTCCAGATGCCAGCATGACATCGACTGGCTTGTAAAACTAAAAAAAACTAAAAAAACCTTGAATTCCTGGGCTCAAGCGATCCTCCCGACTCAGCCTCCCGAGTAGCTGGGACCACAGGCGCCACCACCACGCTCAGCTAAGTTTTCTATTTTTTGTAGAGATGGGGTCTCACTGTGTTGCCCAGGCTTTTCTGGAACTCCTGGGCTCAAGTGATCCTCCCGCCTCATCCTCCCACAGTGCTGGCCAAACTGCCTGCTTACACGAGTGGAATCAGACGTCCTTGCATGGCTGACTTGTTTCACTCAGCATGATGTCCTCAGGCTTCACCCATGTTGTAGAATGGGTCAGAATTTCCTTCCTTTTTATGTACATATATTTTTAAGTTTTCAAACTATCTGATATTTTTCTCAGTTGAACCCTATGTATGTTTTCGTACTGTTAACATTTCCATTAACTTTACCACTCGGACACTTTCTCGAGGAGGCACTGGGAAGTTTGATGGTGCTGGAGATTTAAAGGTGCCCATGGTAACAGTTCCTTGTCAGGAGAAGATGGAAGGTGATATGGCGAGACGCTCACGTCGGGGCTCTGAAAACACGCCCGCCTGACTTTGCACCTGTGCTCTGACACCTGACCAGCTGATGTGCTTGGCTGGGTGACTTTAACTGTCTGTGCCTCCTGCACCTGTCAGCGGACTGGGACGATGGCAGCAGCGTCTGCCCCATGAGGTTGTTGGGATGCTGGGCCCCTTGGTTGGGGCTTACTCGGGGATAGCTAATAATTTTATTTTTGAATCAGAGGTGGCAGTGACGTGCACGTGTAGCATAGCATGAACGAGAAGCTAATGAGTTGGGATGGAATCGTAGCTGAGGTCTAAGAAGAGCTAGGTTAGCGCGCAGCAGAATGAGTGAGAAGCTTCTGCCAGAGGGGTATTCATTGCCCCCTTGGTTTGGGGAAGACGGATGCTAAGTAGGAAGCTGTGATTGAAAGGTTCTGAGAAAGGGATGTGCTTGGGACAGCTTGATGTCCTCATTGCTCCCTTTAGAGGACCGTTCTTTGGGCCACTCCGCCATGAGACCACCTGCCCATAGGCCGGCTGACTTGTCACATCTGCTCCTTATTTCATCCCCTCTCCTCGGGACGGGGAGCAGGGGTGAGGTCATTATGGCGACGGTGGCTGACTCACCCCAGTGCCGGAGGAGCCGCTGTAATCTGACTTCTTTCCCAAGCTCGGTCAGATGACTCCAGATTGAATCTGAGACGCAGAACCCAGATCCAGTTCGCCTGCAGTCCAGATGGGCCCTCCAGCCACGGCGAACCAGAATCACAGGGCGCAGCAAACCGCTCAGCCAGGGTTGGCTGCGGCCGTGGTGACCACATGGCCTGAGGCAGACCACCCCCCTCGGGCTGGTGACTCAGCTTCACATGTCGAGCCGGGCGCCGTGAGACCCGTGCTTGGGAACTCTTACGGAGCTGGCCCTGTAATTTTCTTCTTCGGTCCTCTTCTCCGAGAGGAAAAATAAACACAGAACCCTTAGTTACAAATTTTAATTAATTCATGTTTTTCTATATCCAAGACTCATGCTTTGCTTTTCTTCAAGACAGACATAAGGAGACTGTTACGGCAGATGCTCGTGTCACGTGTGCCCAGCAAGTCTTAATCACACTAAACAGGGTCTTTTAACGTTCTGAGCTGCTGCGGCGTTGACACATGACAACCAAGGTGCATGTTAGCCCAGTAACCAGGACCATTGAAAAGAGACAATTTTCATTTCGTCTCCACTTCCTGCAGTTGCCTACCTTCGTGGAAGCTTGGATCAGTGCTGACAGGCCAAAAGGGAAGATAGCAAAAAAAGACAAAATATGAAGCAAATTGTAGAACAGGCACCTTTTGTCATCGGTACAGTTTTATTGAGCAACTACTATGCAGACGCAAAAGGTTAAGACACAACTCTTGCCTATCGTGCTTACTGTTAGTACCTGTTTAAGCCAGGTGCATCATAAAGGCAGGTGAGAACACAGAGTGGGGCACAGATGCTCGTCAAGTGACGCAGGAGAAATCGCCATGGAAGTTTGGAGGTGCAGCCAGAATGGAAACTGAGCCTGCCCCTGACAATCAGTGACCGGGCGGGGTGGGGCCGCAGCTCACCTGCACGGCGCTTGACGCAGAATAAGCCAGGATGCGGGAACGAGTAACTTGCCATCTGTCCACTTTGTTCCTTCCTCATCTACACTGAACTCACAGAAAATAGCTACACATCTAGGGAAAAAAGCCAAATATCTGTTTTGAAGTGTTTGAGGCCACCCAAACACTTAACCTTTTAAGTTACAGGATTCATAATAAATTCTCCAGCCGTCATCCTGCTTCTTGGTCCTTTTCTTCACCTGGACGTCGCCTGAACAGGAGCGGCTACGACAGCAGCAGGAGCATCAGGAGTCTGCACGGTGAATGCAGCGTGCCCAGCACCACGATGTCACTTGGGCCTGCTCTGTGCCTCGGGCAAGCCAGGCTGTATTTCCCAGGGCAGCAGGTCGCAGTTCTGTTTGTGACGAGGGTGCGGGGGAGGAGCTGCGTCATTGCTTCGCTGAGCTGTATTCCTATTACTGTTAGTAGATTGTCCCTGGCCAGTGCCAGGCTGAGATCATTGAGTCAGATGCCCTGGGGCTTTGTCACTCTGGTGCCCAGGGCACAGCCTGAGGCTCCGTCTGCTTCTCAGGGACGTCGGCTCTGCCAGAGCTCGTCACCCGGCACTTGTGTCTCTGCGCAAGGTGCCATCATAGCAGGAGGGATGAGTCTTTACACGACCTCCGTGGCCGTCATTGGGTTCTGTCATTCTCTAGAACACACGTGTTTGTTCTTCTCCTACATGGACCACACCAAGGCTGTCACCAGTGTCACATCCTCAGCGAAGGAAGGGGCCGAGTCAGGAGCCTGGGGTGCGAGAATCGCGCGGCACCCATCCTGCCCGGTGCAGCGAGTTCAGAGCGGATTTCTAATTGTTAACAATTCCTTGTTTTTGCTGTTCATGATGGAAAACACAGAACTGCAAGTTCAACATCAAACAGGAGAAATGCCTGAGAATAACCATTTAGTGGAAAAACAGGCAGCAGCCTGTGTCCCATGTGATCTTTGGTATGTGAGTATTGGGAGGAAACGCACCAAAATATTGGCTGCGGCTAGAGAAAACAGGGAATTTCTTTCTTGATTGTCTCCTGCGCTTTCGAAGTTTTCTACGGTGAACGCGCATTATTTAAGCTTAGAATAAACAATCCACGGTATTATTAGAGCTGAATCCCAACCCCCGCACGGCATCCGGACGCAGGTGGCGGGTGGAGGGGACTCGTCCCTCGCCCTGAGCTGGCATGCTGTCTCTCCTCAGGAAAAGCCGAGGGGGACGGCAAGATGCACATCACCCTCTGTGACTTCATCGTGCCCTGGGACACCCTGAGCAGCACCCAGAAGAAGAGCCTGAACCACAGGTACCAGATGGGCTGCGAGTGCAAGGTAAGCAGGACCCGCCTCGGGGCTCTGCCCTTTGCCACGGCCTGCAGGGGCGGCTGCGGTTCTGGCCCCGGCTTTCCGGGCCTCCCCGTCCGCTGGGTCCTGGGAAGGGACGGCCTCCCCAGGGGCGAGGCTGTCTAGTGGGGGGCAGAGCCTTTGGCTGCCAGTCCGCGACGGCCCCGAGCCGCAGCTCTGGCAAGGGATAATTGGGAGGTAACAGAATTTGAGGGTGAACGCACAGTCTGCCCACGTGGCCTGTAGCTTTCAGAAAAAGGAATTTCATGGGGAAAACACGGTCCTGTTGGTATTTTTCTCAGATGTATGAGTGCAAACTCTTGTGTGCCTCGTGAGAGAGCACCGCAGGTGTGATGCTTTTCCCATCATTCCAGACATTTCCACACGCAGGTCCTTGTCAATGTGGGGTCTGTGTTGAGAGCCCTGCAATCGCCGGCCTCCCCTCTCCAGCTCCCGCGGGGGCTGCGCCACGCGGCGGCCCTGGTGCTGGCTCTCAGGCGGGCTGTGGGAGGCGAGGGCGCCTCCAGGCTCGGTCACAAACCTGCCACCACCACCGTGCCCCACCCTCAGGAGCACTGCCGAGCAGAAGTGAGCCTGGGACCCGGCGGTGCTGGGCCGGTGCTCTTTCTGTGGTGACCGCCCCCAGCCCCGCTCTTGGCGCGTTCGGAGCGGGAGTTGCCAGCTCGTAGTCTCCGGAACGCCTGTGCTCGGCGTGAAATCAAACACCAAGTCCTTCCTTCTTCCTTACATGCCACGGAGGTGGTCACCGTCTTGAGGCCTTGGGTTCCTTTGCCAAAATGCTAGTTGCTGACCCCCTCGAGGCTTGGGCTTGAGGGCCAGGTACGGCCTGTCCTCTGGCTCCAGGAAACTCAAGATCCTTTGTAGCTGCCACACGCCAGAGAGGGCGAGGCTAAGCGGGAGCCGCGCGCCGCGCTCAGAGCAGGCAGACCAGAGGGCCCAAAGCGGGAGCACCCGTAGTAGTAATAGGTGCAGAGGTGGGTGGGTACAGGGGCGGGGGGTGCACAGGCTTCCCGCCAGGCCCCGACCCCTCCAGGCAGCCGACCTGCTCCTGCACGGAGAGCTTGCAACTCAAGAAAGGCTGCTGTCCTTGAACACCGTGGGCAGGCACGTCGCTAGGTTTCGGAGATGCCTCCGAGCGGCCCCGACTAACCCACGTCACGTGCCCCTTTCTAGATCACGCGCTGCCCCATGATCCCCTGCTACATCTCCTCCCCGGACGAGTGCCTCTGGATGGACTGGGTCACGGAGAAGAACATCAACGGGCACCAGGCCAAGTTCTTCGCCTGCATCAAGAGAAGCGACGGCTCCTGTGCGTGGTACCGCGGGGCGGCGCCCCCCAAGCAGGAGTTTCTTGACATCGAGGACCCATAAGCAGGCAACAGCACCCCTGTGGCCGACTGAAAGCCTCCAAGGGTTTAGACTGGTCCAGCTCTGACATCCCTTCCTGGAAACAGCATGAATAAAACAGTCATCTACGCGGGTCCAAATTAGTATGATTCCGCCCCCACCCCGATTTCCTTTTACACACGGTTGTGGGTCTGGAGGGAGAGGCGGGCCGGGGGCCCCACCCCGCACTCCCTGTGCAGCCTGGCACTCCCTGTGTGTCCTGGTCTCTGGTCCTGGGGTGCGGGCGGGGGCAGGACACACAGACTTCCCCCCCAGGCCCTGCCTTGGCACCGTGGCAGATGCCGTGCAGGCAGCCCCCTGTGGGCCTGGTCAGGGCAGAGTCAGGAAACGTGCGTTTTGCAGAAACGTCTGAGGGTTGTTGCAAGACTGTGTAGCAGGCCTACCAGGTCCCTTTCACCGGAGGGGGCATGTCCCTCGTTTCTGCAGCTGCCACACCTCTGGCCCCAGGTAGCATTCCTTGCCCCCTTGTAAGTGCCCCCATCTCCCCTGCGCCCACCAGGGGCTCCCGGCACCTGTGACTCCCCCAAGTCCAGGAGCAGCCCTGGAACCAGCGGCCAGGTTCTTGAGGGAGCCCCACTTAATCCTAGTAACCCACAGAATGCAGCGGAGCCCCTCTCCTGGCCACACAGAGATGTGGCAGCGAGAGGCCTCACTGAGCCATGTTTCAGCTTCAGCCAACTCCTGTTGGTCTCCCCAAATGCGCAGCCCCAGGGGGTGGGGTCTGTGCAATGCTGTCCTGAGGGCGGGCATCTGGGGGTCGAGTGGCTGCCCTTAGAGTTTCCTCCTGAGCTTCCGAGTGCCCCTGCTTCCTCCCCTGCTGGCATCAGGCGTCTGGACCGGGTTGCACGGCTTGGCTTTGCCCGGGGTGTGCGGGGCCGGTGGCAGGGGCTGGCTGGGTCTCACTGTGCCCCGACAGGGTTAGTATAATCTCCCGCAAAGACTGACAGCCCCCATCCTACGTGTGGATTTCTGCAGGTGACGTTAGCCAAGCACATTAAGAAGTCCGACCTAGGGAGGGAAGAATTCTGGAGGTAGGTAGCTCTGGCGACACCTCACTTCTGTCCGAGCCTCCAGGGCACTACGGCCTGTGTTAAGAGACATCTCATTTTTCTAAAGGTGAATTCTCAGAGAACACGTGAACCTGAGTTGCAAGTATACCAACCGCTGCTTGTATTTCTTATATTACAAAGATTACCCGGTTAAGGAACTTCTTGGGGAACCGGTGTGTTCTCTAAGGATGGTTTTCTGATGCCAGTAAAGTGGGAGTTAAGATAGGCAGAACTTCCTCAATAATGCTAAAGATAATCTCTTTTTTCCTCCTACCTGTGTTATAAGATAAACTGTTCTGAGGACACACGTGCGCATGACGTTGCCATGCACACATGGGGCACGCACACGCACGGTGGAACTGAAGTCAGGCAGCCTGTGCGTGGTCCTTCTGCAAAATGCTTCCAAATCTTCTCAGCCTGCTCTGTTCTGCAGCGACCCCAAAGCGACTGTAAGACTCCTGACCCCCAGTGGCACGTAGCCCCCGCGCCCGCACGGGACCCGGTCAGCACAGATCTCGATGACTTCCCTTTCTAGGGCGGGCCGGGGGATACCCAGGCATCTGCCCCTGCCCCGAGGGCGTTTCATGCTGTGTAGTAGTAAGAAGTTGGTGAGATGTCATAATGGACCAGTCGTGTGATTTCAGTATATACAACACCAGACCCTCCACTCAATATGACACCCCACCCCCGTTCGCTTCCTGTATGGTGATATCATATGTAACATTTACTCCTGTTTCTGCTGATTTTTAAGATGTTTTGGTTTGTTTTTGACATCCGCTGTAATCATCCCTGTGCTGTGTTTTATTACCCTTGGTAGGCGTTAGACTTGCACTTTTTTAAAAAAGGTTTCTGCGTCGTGGAAGCGTTTGACCCGGAGCGGAAGGCGCAGCGTGGTCGCCAGCCTGTGATGGCGGATTCCTTCAGAGCTTTTCTGTGGTTCTTGGAGTAGCTTTGCTTTTTTCCCACCTCCCACCTTTGGTTTTCTGGTTCAAATTATTACAAAGTAAAGGATCTTTTGAGTAGGTTCTAAAAGATGATCTTTATATTTGGTCCATGCACATTGGTCTTCTGACCATGCTGAGTGGAAAAAAACAAAAAACAGATCAAGATGAAGTGCCCGGTGGCAGCTGAGAGACGAAGCCACTCAGATACCGTCACAGTAAATGACTGCGATATATATATAGTCTAAGCAGGACCACGCGGCGCCGTTTAATTTATGTTACATTCTGAGCTCTGCTCCTTTCTCCCTCTGTTCTTTTCATCCTGCAGGCAACTCAAAATATTTAAAATAAAGTTTACATTGTAGCTATTTTCAAATCTTTGCTTGATAAGTATTAAGAAATATCGGACTTGCTGCCATAATTTAAAGCTTTGTTGATTTTGTTTGTTTTTGTTTGGATTTGGGGGGGAGGGGGGAGCAATGTGTTTATGCTGGAATATGAAGTCTGAGACCTTCCTGTGCTGGGAACACATGAGAGTTGTTGGAAGTCGACAAGCAGACTGCGCATGTCCCTGATGCTTTGTATCATTCCTGAGTGATCACTCGGTCCATGGACAATAAACAGTATTATCAAAGAGAACGTTGCCTCTCCGTGTCACTGTATCCGACATTCAGAACTGCCACTTTCTAGCTCACCAGTGGGGGTGAGGGCTGGGCATGGTGGCTCATGCCTGTAAATCCCTGCACCCTGGGAGGCAGAGGTGGGAGGATTGCTTGAGGCCAGTAGTTTGAGATGAGACCAGCCTGGGCAACATAGTAGGACCCTGTCTCTAAAAAAAAAAAAGAAAAGAAAGAAAAAATTAGCCAAGCGTGGTGGTGTGTGCCTGTAGTCCCAGCTACTCAGGAGTCCGAGGCAGGAGGATCACTTGACTCTAGGAGTTAGAGGCTGCGGTGAGCTACGAGGACACCACTGCACCCCAGCCTGGGTGACAGAGCAAGATCCTGTGTCTTTTTAAAAAAAAAAAAATGGTGAGCCCCTGCCTGCAAAGGAGCTTATCCCATCTGGGGAGGGGTTTTCCCCATATCCTCTAGAGAAACAGAGGCCTGGGTGCTTTGAAGCGAGCGTGGGCTGCGGCAGAGACCAGAGCACACAAAAGCGAATGTGGTGTCCTTCGGTGGGCAAAGAGGTGGCAGCCTATGACAGGGTCTTCTCCTTTCGGCAGGTGCCTCCAGCGTTTGTTAGGAAGCATCCCCACATCCACAACCGCAGAGAGAGACAGAAGGCCTCACGCTCATCTCGGCCTCGACGGCCTTCGTCTTTCTGTGCCCACGCCTGCTCCCCAGCCACCCTGCTGGAGATCATTTGGAAGGAGAAATTCCAGGCATCATTTCGTAAATATTTCAGTACATACAGCTAAACATAACTATTTCAAAAACATTTCCAAAATACCTTTGTCACACCTTAAAAACTTATCTGAAATTCATTAACATCATCAAACATCTAGTCAGTGTCCCAACATCTCTGTCTCATAAAAAATGCCTTTTTACGGTTTATTGGCTGGAATGAGGACCCAGTGTCTGGGGCTTAGACTTTGCAGTTGGTCGCTGCATCTCTCGGGTCTCTCTTATTCTACAGGTTTCTCCTCCCTGAGCCCCACCCGCTTCCTTCTGGGAAAGATGGTCCCATGGTCATTCGAATTTTAACCAAAAGTATCATATTATTCCAAATCACCATATGAACATTCTTTCCTGGGGTATTTGAACAGCTGCCTGCCCTCTGGCCCGTGCAGAATTGGTTACTCCAGGGACAGCTGGAGGAATCGTGTTTCCCGTTCTGTGCAGTGACTGCCTGAAAAGCAGGAACAAACTCACCGATGCGTTTTTGAAGCAGTAGAGAGTTGGTGGAACAAAGTTTGCACCAATGTCTGTGTCACAGGACGTTAAATGCCAAGCACTGGGTATCACCTGCCGCAGAAACATTTGGATTGTTTTTTCCATATGGCCAAATACATAGGGGAAGCAGTGCGGACGCACATTGTGATAGTAAAGCGAAAACTTTCGGGGTCATGTAAATAACCTTACTCGGCGTTCGCAGGCACATTTGGGGTCTTAGCAAACGACACACCAGATGATGGCTACTCATTTCATTTGTTTATATACTTAGGTCAAACATGACTTTAAAAAAAACACTCATTATGGAAATTTTAAACATATGCAAAAATGTAGGGCTTTGCGAGGTGGCTCATGCCTGTCATCCTAGCACTTTGGGAGGCCGAGGCAGGAGGATTGCTTAAGGTCAGGAGTTCAAGACCACCCTGAGCAAGAATGAGACCCTGTCTCCACCAAAATAGAAAAATGAGCCAGGCATGGTGGCACACACCTGTAGTCCCAGCTACACAGGAGGCTGAGGTAGGAGGATCTCTTGAGCCCAGGAGTTTGAGGTTGCAGTGAGCTATAATGACCCCACTGCACTCTAGAAGGGGCGACAGAGCGAAACTCTTGTCTCAAAAAAAAATAATAATGCAAAGAATGGTATAACAAACTGCACAGGTCCGTGCTCCAGTTTCAAAAATTACCCAAGTTTTGCCAAGATTGTTGCAAACAGCTTTAAATAGGTCTGTAACCCCACAGATGGGGTAACCAGATTGTCAGGGACACCAGGAGACACGATTGCTTCCCCCCCAATCTTGCTCATTCCGTGAAGGAAAAGTGAATGGGACAACTCTGGGCCACCTGGCTCAGTGGTCAAAACACTGAGGGACAGAGACACGTGGATTCAAGATGGAAATGCAGCAGCAGGCACCCGGGGTCTGATCCGAAGGGACTCAGGGCGGGGGCCTGGTGGGGGCAGCCACCCTGGCTGGTTAAAACACTTCGGAGCTCATGGAACAATTTGAGACTGTTCTAGCAAACAGCAGGGACTCTATCTTTTCCTCCTCATTATTGATGGATATTTTTACCTGATGTAACTTTTAAAAAAATCAAACCAAAACAGTGGGGTTACAGATACTTCACTAGCGTCAGTTTCATTATAGGTGATTGGCTGTTGCCATGGCTTCTGCATTAAGACTTTGAGGTTCGTGTATGAACAGGTTTATCTTTAGCTTTAGGTTCAAGCTTTGGGCTGCCCCATAGCTCACCTGGTCACCGTTGCCGTGAATCATTATGCAGTGAAAGGCGGTGCTTTGATCTGGGGGAAGCATCTAACTCTAATAGCAGGTTTTCTCCTCCCAGGAACAAATTGATTGTGGGGGAAAAAGGCATTCTGAGACATAAGGTAATTCCATACATTTTCATTCCCTAACAACTGGGAAAAACATCCCTTTCCAATTAAAGTAGCAAAACAAAAATGTAACACAAATCCCAATCAGAGCCGTGGGTGTCAGGCTGGGGTGGATTTCGGAGAGGGGTGAGTGTTAGGGAGGAGCTGGGGATGGGATCAAACACGGGGTGCAGAAGTGACGCTGCATACGTTACAGAGAAATAGAGCTGTGGGCGTGGCGGCGCCTGTAGTCCCAGCTGCTTGGGAGGCTGAGGCAGGAGGATGCTTGAGCCCAGGAGTTGGAGGCTGCAGTGAGCTATGATCACACTGCTGCACTCTAGCCTGGGCGACAGAGCAAGACCCTGTCTCTGAAAGTTGATTTTTATTTTTAGGCCAATCAGTACGTCTTGTTTTGCCCCTTGCAGGTACCGGGCACAAGCTTCCCAAAGTCCCCTCCCTGGGGAGTCACAGAGGATGCACTTCATTCCCCAGCAATGAGTTGTGACAAAGCGTGTGAAACGTCACCAACCAACAGAGCTTGTCAGAGAGCCAGCGTCCCAGGTTCTCACCGGGGGCTGGTCGCAGAAGGCATGTAGCGCAATTTCAGACTTCCAGAAGGAAAGTAGGTGTTCGGCATAAAGAGTGGAGTCGCGGTGAGCCGTTATCAGGGAACCCTCCCAAAAGCCAGATCCCAGCCGCAATCTTGCAGGCAGGCCTTTCTGAGGAGGGTGGTCTCAGGCCTGTAGTTGTCACAATGTTGCACACAAGTCCTGTCTGTTCCCTTTCCGTGGTCTTTCCTCCGGCTGCGGAGACTGCTGCCAAACGCTCCTGGGCAACCGCGTAGGCAGTCATTCCGTTGCCTCTGATAATTCTAGCAGTAGCCGACAGAGGGGGTGCTCAGGATGCAGGCTGAGGATGCCACGTACCTTATCGCACTTAATGCTCGCTGACTCTGAGACGGGTCCTCTCGCACAGCTGATGGGTGAGGAGACAGAGGCCAGGGCGGTGGCGTCGCCTGGTCATACATGCTGGCGCAGCGGTCTGAATGCAAGCAGAGCGGACTCCAGGCCTGCTCTGCAGTGGCGCACGCTCCCGCCTCTTCCTCCGCCCCGAGGGACCGGGAGTCTCTGTCAAAGACGTGGCTCGGGCAGAAGCAAGTTTCCTTCCGCAGGTTGTCCCCATCCAGCAGCAGGTGAAAACTCACCTACACTTACAGGAAGAGCCTCTGCAGTGGTTGGCTGGTCAGTTTTGGTTTGGGGTGTGTGTGTGTCTGTGTGTGTGTGTGTGAGATTAAAGCAACAATGACAATGACAAAATCCTAGTCTCAGTCAAGATACCTTATTACACCAAGATACCTTGTTGTAAGTTGTAATTCCCAAACTTAAAAAAGGGTACATTCAACTATCTGGAAAATTCATCTATATATAATTTATCTTCCAAACCAGGACCCTGTGCAGAGAGAAAGGGGTGCTATTAACCATTAGCGGGTGTGAACCAGACCTGTCCTGAGCAGACCAGGATGCACTGCTGCCCCGTCTGTGCGAGACATTTTCCCCAGCCACCCCAGGCTGTCTAATCCCCCTCTGCGGTTTGTCCCAGACCCCAGGACTTGTCCTTGGTCACAGCAGCCCCCACACCCCCAGGGCCCCAAGGCCTCACCCTACCTTCCTGTGATCTGCCAGAGAATGTGAACCAGTTAAGGCAGTACTTGCCGCTGCAACAAATAAACCCAGTGTCTCAGGGACTAACCCAAAAGGAGCTTATTTCTTTCCTTATTTTTTTTTTTTTTTTTTGAGACAGGGTCTCACTCTTTCACCCTGGCTGGAGTGTGGTAGCATCATCATAGCTCACTGCAGCCTCCAACTCCAGGGCTCAAGCCATCCTCCTGCCTCAGCCTGCCAAGTAGTTGGAACTACAAGTGTGCACCACCACGCCCGGCTAAGTTGTTTTAGTTTTTGTAAATATGGGGTCTCCCTATGTTGCCCAGGCTGATCTCGAACTCCTGGCCTCAAGCAATCCTCCTGCCTTAGCCTCCCAAAGTGCTGGGATTGCAGGTGTGAGCCACCTCACTGGGCCAGGAGTTTATTTCTGGCTCACACAACAGACCGATTGGGACATTGGATAGGTGACCTCCCATGGGCGATGCAGGGACCCTGGCTCCTTCCCTCTGTGTCACACCACCTTCCGGAGCCTCAGAGTCCTCTGCTTTAAGCCAGAAAGACGAGGCAAGGAGGGCACTGTAGCTTCCTAGCATCTTTGGCTTGGGGGTGACGCCTGTCACCTCCTCTCCCGTGCACTGCTGAGAATTATTCACTGGATGCCAAGAGGGCTGAGAAGTGCTGTCCTGGCCAACAGCCACTCCCTGAAACCCAGGAGGA